GATTTCTTTTAGAACTTTTTTCGGTTTAAATAAAAAATCCTGAAATAGGAAATGTTTACTGACTTGAGTCACCACACATGGGTTTTGGGAGCACCAGTGAAATGCAAAAGCATTCACATGGCTTCAGAGCAGGATGTACAGGGTTTTCTGACCAGGTTGCCTCTGGTGTTAGCGGCACACCTAACCATTGCTTAACGCTTTTCAGGGATTGCTTTTTAAATGTCAATATCACAGAAGGCATACTAGAGCTGTGCTGTCAATCAAGAGTTGTAATTAATGCCTTGGTTTGTGAGTGGAAGCTTTTAGCTGGACTGCTCCCCAGCCAGCGTGATGTGCTCCCACGTGAAGCCGAGCACCTGCAGAGAGGATTTCCCTCTCTTCCCAACAGCTTCACCCATTTTCATTTCGTGGTTGAATCCTGAGCAGTGTGCATGGCTTTATGAATAAAGAAAGCTTCGACACAGTGAACTTTGCAGCTGAGAGCATTATCTTTGAGAGGCTAAGAGCTGTAGTCAGTACTTGGTGGATGGCCTTCATCCATCTCTGAAGATGAACAGCAGATGTGAAGGGAGAGCCACTTCCCAGATTTTTATAAACTTTTTTTTTTTTTTTTTTGTGCCTGTATTATGGTGATAGTGAAGGGAAACTCAGATTTCTCCAATTGAAATCTTCAGATGAATTGCCATAGATTAAACTTTGATGTAGCAAATCAATAATGGGTCTGTTAATTAGACTGATACAAATGTGCATGTTTGTTCTTGGGCAAAATGAATAGGGTAAAATCTGGATGGTTTAGCAAAAGTGTGGTGCACAGAGAGGAGAGGCAGATTTCCCTGGGAGACAGGGTTTGTGAAAAGGCTGTATGACTTAGAATCTGAACAGAAGTCCTACACCCAGCACAGACCCAGGGCTCCTGCCCTCCTCGAGAGCTTGGCTGTGCAAACTCACTCTCATTCCTGTTTGCAAGAGTTGAGGTGACTCCCAGAGGGATGGAATGGGGAAGGGCAGACACGGGTGAAAGTCAGTGACTGGTGGCTGTGCTCTTGTGCCAAATCTTGATCTGTCCCCCTCTCAACACCCAAGAGCAGATTCCTGGAGCCCAGGCTGCACCAGAGTCAGCATAGGAAGGAGAGGTGCTGTGGGTGTTGTGTCCTTCTGACAGAGAGGTGCCTGGTCAGACACTCGCGTGATGTGCTGCAGTCTTTGCTCATGACAGATTTGGACTAGCCACGCCCCAAAGGCATACTTAGGGAATTCCACAGGATAAGTGCATGGTGGTGTGTGGAAATGTTATGAGTCAGTAGAGCTGAAATTAGAATCGGTTTAATACTTTCTTTTTCCCTCCCAAAAGAATCCTAAAAGCAGGCTTTAATTTACCTTTAATTAGCCTTTTCTTTGGTTTCATCTTGCAAGCATTTAACATTCCAAGCAATTACAATCTCTCAGTAGAGATTCAACTTTTCTGTGCTGTTATGGTAATCAGTATTGTAAAAGCCAAGAGAAATAGCCACCAGTTCAATTTGCTTCTCTGGCCCTTATAGGTAAGCTTTACTTTTACCTCCATGACAGTGTTCCAGTATGAACTTGGGTGATTTATCCAAGCAGTTTGCCCATGGATGGTGTGCAGGTGCAAACACTGCTATTCACGTTTATGATGTGCTCACTTTAGGGGTTTGTACACTTTTAGGTACTTTGCAGCTTCAGTGGCTGTTAATTTGTGTTTAGAGTTTGCTTGAGTAAGATTAACTAGTTTGTAAGCAGGAGCAACAATTTTTAGGGGGAAGGTAAACATCCACACATCTGGCTGATAGGAGCTGGAAGTCACTATTGAGGCAACAGGTCTTTTCAGGTATTACCCTGTGATCAGACCATACTTCACTTCCCCAGACCTTTGCTGTGTTACCCGAAGTATATGTAAGAATGTCTGTAGACATATATGTGTTATTTCCTGTATACTTATTTCCATGTTCTCTAGCTCTTCCCCAGCTGCTGCAAGTCAATAGAAACCAAGGTCTAAATTCTAGTGTACGTCCCCGTGTTCAGTTTCTGGCACACTTCTGCCTTCAGCTTGGCCTTCCTTCCCAGCACTTCCTTTAGCAGGCCATCGCTTGGTTCATAAATTTCAATGGTTTCAGTATACAGGGAAGAAAGTTTATCCTCTGGTTTTAGAGGATTTTATGACTGTTGTGTGAGCCCCAGGAGAGCTGCAGAATTCTTCTGTAGCTCCCCAAAAGACAAGACTTGTGCACTGGATTGAGTCAGGGAGGCAAGAAAATACACTGCCCACTTGAAGAGTGACGTGTATGTTCTGGTCTGCAAGCCCAGCATCATTGCCTTAGGCAGACAGATGAGTCTAGTGTGGAGGTGAAGACCGGGTTTCCATTTGGGAGTGGCATGGGTCAGCCTTTTCTCAGTCCTCTTAGAAAGGTTTATTCTGCTGATTAAGGCCAACACAGTGTGAGCAGAGGGACTTGATCTGTGACTGAACATTTTCAGGAGGGTGGAAATTCTCCCACCACCTTGTTCCTCCTTTTGTGTCATTGTGCAGCCTGCACAGTTGCAGAAAGCAAATGATTTTAAGTGTTCGGAGGTGTAAAGCTGACCAAAACAGCTTCTTGCAGGGAGGAAAATTTTTAAAAAAAAAAAAAAAGACAGTGAAATACACCAGTGGAAAACCCAGCTGTTTTCTGGGTGGTATACAAATATTGCCATCATGGATCTACCTAGCAATTGTCTTTTGGTCCAGCAATAGATAAAAGAAAATTCAGAGAACAGGGCAATGGTAACAAGAAACATTTTTACAGGTAAAAATTTCATGTCAGAAGTCTTGGCAGCTGGTAATTGCCTGATGTTGTGGTTCTAGGGAATTTAGCTTTTCATCCATATTTATGTACTGGTGAAGGTAACTCTGGAAACTCTCAATAGCCAGGTGATTGCCTAACTCCTTGAATCCTGATGAGTTCGTGGTCTTCAGGGTACCTTATGACAGACTATAATTATGTGTTGTGTAAGAACACGTGTTTTGTTGCACAACATGAATGTGTTTCCCCTGTATTTTTGCATGTCTGTTTTCTTTGAATATCCCTTGCTTTATGGATACAAAGGATAAATAAAACTACCCATTTACCTTTTCTGAATTGTTAGGTTCTTTGCATCCCAGACAGTAAGTGCCCTGACCAGGGTAGATGCTCTATGTGTGTATATAGGCCAGCTGTGTGATATGTCTTGGTTGCAAGATGAGATCAGTCTCCATTAATTTCTTCAGGAGTCTTCTGGCATGCAGAAAAATAAGTGCAGACATCTTACAAAACAAGGCAAAAGATGGCAATGCTAAGCTCCCTTCCTAATATAAAATCCTTGTGCAAAAGATGGAACATTGCTCCTGCATATAGTACGGTAGCACCTGAAAAAAAGAATACTCATGAGCAAGATAACTGGAAGTAGCATTTTGTCAGTGCTAACCCAGGTAGGTGCTTCAGGTAGCTCTACATGCCTGTTCCCATCTGCCACATGTCATTTGTTCTCTCTTCCTCCAGAGATGACTGTGTGTATAGTACACTGCTATGTCTGAGTGGGGCTTTGAGTGCTGCATGTGATAAAAAACAAGAGTTTTGCACATGAACCAAAACCTGATGAGATTTGTGGTGGTTCTTCTGTCCTGAGGGATTTCATTCTCTGGATTCACACTTTTCCTCAAGGAATCATGGTCTTTTGCAGAAGCTAACTTCCTCCTGGTTAGAGGCAAATGATTTGTGCCTAAAGAGCAAAGCTGATGCCCTAATACTGATATACCGAGCCTGGCTGTGGAGTGTCAGAGGTAACAACAAGAATTTGATGTGATCAGGTTGGAGCCGGAGGGACAGTGGGGTACTGGTAGTGATGAACTGCACTGCTGGAGATATGTTAAGAGTGCTTAGGAGTGGTTGGGGTCACACATGGTGTGATTCTGTCTAGACCACTGTGGTGATGGTGATATCGTGTGAGTTGTAAACAAAGCAAAACAAAACCAAATACCAGCAAACAGGTGGGGCTGTGGATGTAATTGCTGGCTTCTGGTGCTCTCATCTGACCAGAGGCTGTCCATGGTCAGGTGGAGATCCTCCATAAACAAGGGATTTGGTGGAGGAGCTGAGATATCTCACCCATGCTCCTTAATTCCTTCCTCCACAGGTAATTTGAACCATGTCACTACAGTCTTCTCAATTTCTATGACCTCTTTGTATGGCAAAATAGTGTCTTGTGGTTGGCAGTGCTAAAAAGCAGAAACATTCAGGGATCTGGGTGTGGATCCTTTGCTCATTAGCTGTAAAGAGGGAGACCTCACTGCTATCCAGGTCATTTCTTGCACATCCTGGTCTAATTCTGGACTGCACTGGGCTCCGGTGGTCTAGGTTGGTAGTTTCAGGTGGGGAAGCATGATGCAATAGCTTTTTTTGTTGGTTTGCCAAGAAACAGAATGTTTGATATAGGGTGGAAGCTTGCCATGGTTATCATAGGAAGAGGGGTTTTGGAGCAGTGGAGGATATGCTTTCCCTCGCCTCTCCTTTTCCTTTGTCCAGACTCTCTTTTGACTTTTTGAAGGAGGTAGAGAGGAAGGAAAGATTTACTCCCTGGATGAGGTGATCCCTGTTCAGCCAGGAGTGGTAGGGGTTGTCCTTGGTAGCCAGGGAGACCACTGTGCAAGAGTCACAGGGTGGGCTTCACAGAGAGATTGTACCACACAGGTCTTCTCCCTCCAAAGAAAAAATGGGGACAGGTTATCTGTGTTCCCCTCTGCAGGGCTTCCATCACATGGCTGGAAACATGGCTTTGCTTAGGAGTGGCTTTTAAGAGTGTCTTTTCTCCAGGAACTTAGGTATAGAAAGGAAGTAGCTAAAGGGGAGATCTGGATTAGATGGGATTAATTTGGAGAAGAAGTGAAGAAAAACACCTGCTGGCTAAGTGGGAGGGTGGGATTTTTGGCGTTGTGGGGAGATAGATCTGGTTTTTTTCTTTCTTAGCATACCTGGAGACTGTTTGTAAAACCTGCAGAAAGCTGCTGAGCTCTGGCTTCTACAAAATAAGGTACATGTTGATTTACCCCCACTCCCTTGCCTGGTATATATCTGACACCCCCAGATGAAACAAGGAGATGGCAGTTCCTTCTCCTTTCTGTTGCCCCCAGAAGAGAAATATCAAGGAGAAAGACACACAGTGAAAGGGAAAGTCAGGGAGAACAGACTAATGAAACAGTTCTGCCTTGACAGGCTGCATTTTAATTGAAGCTACAACTTGCAAGACCTGACATTATTTGGAATGCTAAAGATCCTGAAGTTAGTCTTGCAGTGTTACATGCACACCTCGGTACTTGATTTCATGTGGGATTTGCAGACATCTGAGCCACTTCTGACCTTGCCATTTTAATTACTCTGAAGCATTGCAGAACAGCTTCTTCTCAAAAGAAAATTTAGGGATCTTTTCAATCTAGGGACAAAATAGAGCTTATTTTAAACTAAGTAGAGCTAAGTTTAATGCTGCACCTGAATGTAGACTCTGGTCTAATTTTAATTAATGGATAGAAACAATGCTGCTTGCATTCAACTGGTAAAGTGGAGCTCTATGGAGAGAGGATCACTGTATTTAGCTTTTATTGTTGTAATACCTCAGTTGTTAAGTTGCTACACAGGAATGTTAAATACCTTGCTGCCTAAAAAGGGGCCATGTGTGTGTTTTTGCAGTCACATCCAATATCGTGTCACAACAGAAGGGAACAGGAAAATATGCACTGTTGTTCACTACTACCCCTTCTGACTTCAAAAGGTTACATTATATGCTCATTCCAGTGGATGGAAGTGCGATGTCTTCCTTCACCCCTTTCTTCAGGTCAGGTTAACAGTATTTTCCAGAAGAAATCTGGACACAGGGAAGACTTTGGTCTTGTCAGACCCTGTTGGGGCAAGAGGGGGAAGGAAATTCATTTCCCCTCGGACATCTTCTTGGGCCAGTCCCAGTGTTAGACAATGAGAATGTTCTGACTTAATTCTAAAGCTTTCAGTTTAATGCTTTATTTAAAAAAATTACTTATATCTACCATTAAGCATGCGTTCTTTTCAGACACACAAGAGATCCCCTTGCTGCTCCTATTGAATCCCCTGGAATTACTCAGGAAAATAAACAATCCTTCCAACTCATTTAGAGGACAGTCATGTTTCTGCCAATGTAGGGGTAGCTGTATTTCAGTTTGTGAGTTGTAAGAAATTAAAAAAAACCCCAAACAAAACAGTTTGGGAAATAAACCGTGGTTGTCTTGTTCCAATACTCTAATTTAGCTGGAAATCATCTGAAATCTGGGTTGGTTTACCGCCTTCTGTCAGCTAATTCAGGGGAATGAAATCTTTGCCTACTATTGTGGTAAAATATGTTTGTGAATTAACACATGATTAAGAAAAAACTGCAGATTTCCAGTGCCTTGTCTTGCTAAGGTGGTGTTTATGCTGTAGATAGACTGGTGTGCACATGTCTTTCTTAGAAGCTAGAATTGTCTCTGATGCTTTGTTCCTGGTTTAAAATACCATTATGTCTCTGTTTTCTTGCAGAATGAAGAGACGCAAGTTTCCCTACAAATGTCCCTCACGAAGAAAAATCCTAATCCTGTGTGTTACAGGGTGGCTGATTGCACTGCTGAAGCTCCTCCATGTTGAAAGACACTTTTTTCCCTCTAAGGGCATTTATTTGGTTGAGCACCTCTTGAGCACTTCTTCTTATGTTAGAAACAGGTATTCCTACCTTAAAAATGAGTTCCAGTATGAAATTAATTGTTCCTCTATATATGAACAAGATCCCCATGAAATTGGCAAGAGTTTAGAGATAAGAAGAAAAGAGATAATTGATTTATCTGATGAAGATGTGATAGCATTGACGAGTGCTTGCCATGTGTATCATTCACTTAGGAAATACCACCTAAAACCTGTTTCTCCAGAGGAGGAGAGTTTTCCAGTTGCCTATTCTTTGGTCGTCCACAAAGATGCAGTAATGGTAGAAAGGCTCATACATTCACTGTACAGTCATCAAAATATTTACTGCATTCATTATGACCAAAAAGCAGCAAAAAGTTTCAAATCTGCTATGAAAAATCTAGCTAAATGTTTCCCCAATATTTTCATTGCATCAAAATTGGAGACAGTGGACTATGCACATATTTCACGGCTGCAAGCAGATTTAAATTGTTTGTCCGATTTGATGGACTCTTCAGTTCCCTGGAAATATGTCATTAATTTGTGTGGCCAAGATTTTCCTTTGAGGTCAAATTTCGAGTTGGTTGCTGAACTGAAGAAACTTGATGGAGGAAACATGCTGGAAACTATAAAGCCAAGCAGTAGCAAAAGAGAACGATTTACTTATCACTATGAACTTACTAAGGTGCCTTATGAATACATGCAGATGCCTGTAAAAACCAACATTTCTAAGAATCCACCACCTCATGATATTGAGGTATTTGTAGGTAGTGCCTATTTTGTTTTGAGCCGTGCATTTATTCAATATACCCTTGAAAGCTCTCTTGCAAAAGATTTTTTAGAGTGGTCAAGGGATACATACTCTCCAGATGAACACTTCTGGGCCACTCTTGTACGTGTTCCTGGGGTCCCTGGGGAAGTTCCAAGGTCAGCCCAGGACATAACAGATCTACAAAGCAAAACTCGTCTGGTGAAATGGAATTATCTTGAAGACCATTTGTATCCTCCCTGCACTGGTACCCACCTTCGCAGTGTCTGCATTTATGGGGCTGCAGAATTAAGATGGCTTCTGAATTACGGGCACTGGTTCGCCAACAAGTTTGACTCCAAAGTAGACCCTGTCCTGGTAAAATGCTTAGCAGAAAAAGTGTCAGAACAACAAAAAGAGTGGGTATATTTGTCCTCTGATAAATACTTTCTGCACATAAATTCTATGAATGCCTCGCTATAGCAGCACTGTTTTATCTGCTATCAGTACTGTGTACTGTTAGAGCACAGCGCCTGCAGTTCCTCTGCCTTGATCTGTTGCAGGATGTTAGTGTGTAAAACTTCCATTCTGCATGAAGTTCAGGGCCCAGGAGAGCCAGGTTCTTGGCCATCTATTTATGAAATGCCTCTATGATTAACTGGTTTGTTACTTGCCACAACAATCCTGTAATTGTTCTTCAGGGTGATTCTGAGAGCATGAGGTTTGTTTTTAGAGTCTCTGGCGCTGTCTGTCCTGATGGAATATTTCAGAAATGTGTTTTACAATAAGTGTGTTTGCGTCTTTCCTAAGAAATGCCAACGTATCTGTCTACCTGTCCCCTTTTCCTTCACTTTTTCTTAAAGGTATGAAACAAAGACCTCTGTATCTGCTACCTCAAGAAAACTGGAAGTGCCCATCTCATGGACTCTATACCAAGAGATCAGCATGACACCAGATGAGCCGTGTGGCCTCACCTTAAGTCCCATACTTCCTGTCTGTGGGAGCTAACAAAGATCTTTGCAATGTGAATATGAATGGATGATATAAGGGAAACAAGATCCTTAGATAATGCATTGTCCTTAGAATCGTTCTCCCAGCTCATCTGTGCATTGCTTTTCCTTCTGTGAAGTGCGTGCTCAGGTGCTGTGCCATGCCTATGAAATCAGTGGTGGTTCATTATGAACTGTATAGGCAGTATATGAACGTGCCCTAACAGCAGTCTCTGCAGCCCCTTCGGGTAATTATCCATGCCAAAAGAAGTCAATCTTCATTTCTGTCTCTGCCTGTAAAAATATCCTCCTGTGAAATCCCAGTCTTCTTGAGACAGTATGTCTACACACAGTGGATAACAAGTGCTGTTTCTAATTTGTGTTCGGCAATGTGGTGCTATGTTGAAATGTAAAAACATGTTAAGTCAGGTGGTAATCATAACAGCCATATTGCAGAAATGAAGACCCTGCGTAGAAATGTCTTTTTGTGCAAGTCTTGTGGCCTTTCACCACCATGATTCCAAGCTGATGGGTGCCTGAGCAAGCCCTGGTTCAGCTGTAGAGCAACTATTTTCCAACAGCCTTTGCTTCCCATTGCTCTCCCAGGTCTCCTGGTAGGGAAGTGGCCTGGAAGCCTCCTTGCAGCTGGGGTCCCCATGCTGCAGCATGAGAAGTGTTTCTTAGTGCAGGGGTCTCTGCAGAAATTCTTGCAACTCAGAAATGCATCTTGGCATTTTGGGGATTTTTCTGAAAAATTGCTCTGCCACAAGTTCAGTTTTGGTGGTTCCAGTGGACACTAGGGTATAGCTTGCTCCATGCTGCTGTCCTCTTTCTACCCATTTGGCTTTTATTAAGGGGTCAATTCCTATGAGTGACTTTGGGATACCTGGTCTTACTAATCCACAGATTGCTGCAGTAATGAGCTCTTATTTGAGTTGAAAGAACCAAGTCATTGTTGGTCTCAGATTTTGTTAATAAATCTAGTCATGGTCAAATCATCTGCAGCTTAAGATTGGTTTCGGAAGTTAGGAGTTGCAGAGCCTTTTCCCCCATCCAAGACACTGATTTTCCTATGAGACCTCAGACAAGTCATCTAAGTTTTCTGTTTCCTTTGCTTCAGCTGTAAAATGGGAACAATGACATTCTGTTATCTTGCTAAGCACTTCAAAACCTATGGGTGTTATGGGTTGGTTGCACAGTACAAATTGCTTATCAAAGTATTTATGGAGTCTGTGGATGTACAGGTCAAGTATTTCTTTGATGTACCGTTTCTGAAATAAATGGGGATTATTTTAAAGTGTGTGTTGCTTACTTCAGTGACTTGCCATGTTTGCCCAGGGTTTTTCTGACTGGATGTGATTTATAGACACTTCGTAGGAAATCAAATATTGACAGTATTTACAGATTCGTTCATCAGCACTTGTATATAAAGTAGCGTTCCCATGTGGAAAAAGCTTAATAAAAGACATTAGAATTCCAGAGGGCCAAACCACAGCCTTCTGTACACATAAATTGATGTTTAATGATACATTTAAAAAATTTCATTTATTTAAACTGGCTCTATATATTTATATACACACATCCCCATTTGTGTTTGAGTGATTTGCTCTACCATAAATGTATAAAAATAATTTACCAGCACATTAAACTTAACTGAAGTTTGGGAGAACTTGTAGAGTAGGGCTCATTGTTGGACTTGATGATCCCAAGGGTCTTTTCCAACCTGAATGATTCTGTGATTCTGTGAAGTAAATAATTTTAATCAACATGCAACTTTGTGCTACTTTAACTGAATTGGGTTGAATGACACATTTAATTTAACTACTTTGAAATAAGGGAGCTCATGCTTCCTTGGTAGTGAAGAGGTGGATGTGGAGATGGCACAGTGTGGGGCAGCATCACCCATTACAGCAGTACGTTTGCTAGCTGGGGAAGTTCAAGTAGTACAGGCATAGTTGCAACTTTATGAAATTTTTATTTTCTAATGAGTTATAGATATTTGTGGTTTTTGAAGGTGACTTTAAAAGCTATTCAAGCTTGTAGAAAGGCAGTACACAAAAATCCTAGGATTGCTCAGGCTGGAAGATCATCTAGTCCAGCCTCCTGCTCACAGCAGGATCAACACTAAATTTGGGCTGGTTTTCTTGTGCTTTGTCCCAGGGAGTCTCACAGATCTCTAGGGAAGATACTGTAGCCTTATGGAGCAACATTTTCCAGTGTTTGTAGGAAAAAGAACAGCCAAAATGTAAATTCCTTAACTTTGAAATAATCTTCTGGTTTTTTTGACTGCATTCAGCAATGTAGGTGCTATACTGATGCCTGTATCATAGTTAAGTGATTAGACTAGGGGGGTGGGTAACAATTTCATTGTTTATCTTTGACTTCATCATCTTTGTTCTTTACACAGTTGGGTCAGTCTTTGCTGAAAATGCACCTGAGGCATGATTGACAAGCACCTTTTTTTTTCTGTGAGAAATGTTGCTGAACTTAGTTTACAGCAAAGCAAATATGAAGTATTACTTGGGCTAGAACTTAGATATAGGAAGTTATCTTCCATTCTGCTCTCACAGAGTTGGGTTTTTTTTTCCTTAATAAAGCTCAGACATCCCTTTCCTCTTAATCTCTTTCCCTTCTTCACTTCTGCTGAGAAAGTTTCCTCTTGTAAGTTATTTCACAAATTTGAAATGCATGTACATTTACATGTATTACATGGTTCCTTCTGTCTTTGTTCTGCTGAAGAAACCCCGTGCTGGCTTTTTTCCACCCACCCTGGCCCATGCTGGCCTCGTGGAGCATCTGGACTACCAGTTAACCTGATTTTCCTATTCAGGAATGATGTGTGGGCAGAGCACTAGTCCTGCTTCTGGCTGTCAGCGCTGGTGTACAGGTCCAGCCCACTGTTTTTTTTACTGTCTGAAAACAGCAAAAATACTGTATGCATTATAACATGGAAAAGTTAAGTGAGAAAAAAGAGGAAATAATGAACTTTAACGAAAGAGACACAGATACATTTGTACAACTTGCTTGCTAATGAATTTATTAGGCTGGATATGGAGTCAGGAAAATAGTATATACAGACATAAAGGCCTCGCTATGTATTTTCTTTGACATTTGAGTAAAAGGATGTGAAAGGAAAGACTAGAAATTAGACACCTAATCTGTTATTGTAATTAAAGGAGACTTGGCCTGTTGAGCATTTCTATGGCTGCTATGTCATCACTGTGGCATTTGAATCAGAATGTGAAAACCTGAGAAAACCAGTATTTGGGCAGTAAATGTGGAGTATATGTGGCATACTAGTGTGTGTTCACAGTGTGTGACCTTGATTTTTAGTTCAGGTATAATATCTGTTTCTATTTGGTGTTTTTACAGAACTTGTGTCATTCTTGGCAGCGGATAATTTCCACTCAACTAGAAATGATACTTCAGAACAATGTGCTCTGTTAGTAAGATGCGATAAGTCCATACTGGAAGTATCCCAGCACCATTTGGTATTTTAAACTGATAGCTGAACACTCCATCCTGATCCTGTTTTTTTCAGAACTATCATACCAGGCTCTTTGATTTTTTCTATTACTAAATTATACTAATCTTTATAGAACTGATTCTTCTTAGAAAAGGGAGAAAGCAAAAGCCGTGAAGCAAAATTCGTGAAACTTTGGATGAGGCATTATCTCAAGTGAGACAGTGTATTGGGTTTGTGTGGCGAAGTTTTGGTAGTGGATGGGCTACAGAGGTGGATTCTATGATGAGATGCCAGAAGCTCCCTCCATGTCCAATAGAGCCAATGCCAGCCACCTCCAAGATGGACCCACCACCGGCCAAGGCCAAGCCCATCAGCAATGGGGGCAATGCCTCTGTGATAACATAGTTAAGAAGGGGAAAAATCTGCTGTGTAACAGCAGCTAGAGAGAGGAGTGTGAATATATAAGAGAAACAACTCTACAGACATCAGGGTCATTGAAGAAAGTGGGGTAGGAGGTGCTCCAGGCACTAGAGCAGAGATTCCCCTGCAGCCCATGATGAAGACCATGGTGAGGCAGGCTGTGCCCCTGCAGCCCATGTTGGTTAATGGTAGAGCTGGTATCTACCTGTGGCACATGGGGGACCCCACGCTGGAGCAGGCTCCTGGCAGGACTGATGGAACCATGGAGAGAGGAGCCCATGGAGCAGGTTTGCTGGCAGGACTTGTGACCCCATGTGGGTCCCATGTTGAAGCAGTCTGTTTGTAAAAGAATGTACCCCGTGTAAGGAATACATGCTGGAAAGTTTATGAAGAACTGTAGCCCATGGGAAGGACTCATGTTAGAGAAATTTGTGGAGGACTGTCTCCCATGGGAGGGACCCCATGCTGGAGCAGGGGAAGAGTATGAGGAGTCCTCCCATTGAGGAGGAGGGAGTGGCAGACATGTGATGAACTGACTGCAATCCCCATTCCCCATCCCTCTGCACCACTGAGGTGGGGGAGGTAGATAAAATCAGGAGCAAAGTTGGGCCCAAGAAGAAGGGAGTGATGGGGGGGAAGGTGGTTTTAATATTTGTTTTTATTTCTCATTTTCCTACACTGATTTGATTTGTAATAAACAAAATTAATTTTTTCCAAAGTCAAGTTTGTTTTGCCTGTGATGGTAATTGCTGAGTGATCTCCCTGTCCTTATCTCAACCCATGAGCCTTTCATTGTATTTTCTCTTTCCTGTCCAGCTGAGGATGGGGTGTGATAGAGTGGCTTTGGTGGGCACCTGGCATCCAGCTGGGGTCAGCACACCACAGACAGGTAGGAGCCACATGGTATATTGTAAAGGGACACAGGGACAGTACATTTTGTTGCTACAGAGCTGCCACATACATGTCTTCAAGATTTACTAAGTGGAAATGCTTGCATATAGCATGGTTGCTGCTGCCATCTCTGATCATTGTAGACTTGTAGTACATTTTGAAAATTAAGATCATTTGGGAAAAATGCCTGGAGCTGGTATCAGTTTCTCGTAAAAAAATAGGTGCTCTGAAAAATCTTGAAAATTTACTGCAGCTTGACTAGGGGAATACAAAAGACTCAGGAGACTGTGCTAGTTGCGTCAGAGAAGGCAGAAGAAGGAGCCTCTGATTTTTTTTCTCAAAGCAAGTCAGTGGTTTTTAATGATGCTTTCTGTGTTATTTGTAGAAACCAATTTAAAGATGTGTTAATTTGAAAAACTAGTGACTGACTCCCACCTTGCATCTCATTTGCTGTAACATATATGAGTTTATTTAAAAGATTATTCCTTGGGCTACAATTAAGAGACTTCAATGTGATTTAATTAAAGGTAGCAGCTTTTCTATTGCTGAGCCTCTTTTCTCTGCCCGAGTATGTTCTCTGAGATGGAAAAGATGCCAAGTCTAAGCTTTAGCTGGGGCGATGAGATTAGAGAGTATACAGAGAGGCTGTAGGTGGCATTATTACCACCATAGCATAACAGGTGGGAAATAAGAATAACTGCATTTTATATTGTAGAAGTTCAAGTCACCATTTATTCAAAAACATAATAGGAACTGGAAATCATACAGTTGGAAATTACTACATGCATATATTTTAACGCTAAATTGCTAGGGGCCATAGGAAGTAGGATGAAAATGCAAGTGGTATGTGCATTTTTATCTGACATATGGAAAAAATAGCTGTAGATGAACTGCAAGACCTTTCAGTTATAAGAAAAGTAGAAGTCCTCCTCCCATGGAGGTTCAAAATTGCAGAATTGAAGGCATCAGCTTATTTTCTTCAGGAAGTGTTATGCTTGCTTTTGTTTCCTACAGTTGTTCCCTACCTTTTAATACAGGAGTGACAGCTTCTTTGTGGCCTTAAGATACCTGTATGAATTAAATTTTATTACTCATTTTCTCTAAGCAGTTTTGGAGTCCAGAACTTGCTTTCTGTCCCA